CCAGGTTTCATTTTAAGGATCCTGAGGGATCTATTGAAGAACTTTAAAAATAAGTAAATAAAAAGATTTTATCTTAGGATGAATATAAAAGTTGAAAGAACAACCGTTTCTTCCATAATTCTTCTCTTGACTTTGCTTAGCCAGTGTCTGGCTGCTTCCCCACAGGAAGACCACTTACCCAGATGAACTCCCATGGCTTCATTTCTAAGATAATCTCTACCTTATATGCCTGTTATACTTGTTGGTAAGAAATACATAAAAAGACATACTGTCTTGTATAAAAATATGCCTGAATATATAGTTTATTGCAGTTTTGATTCTGAGATCAAAATTCAGCGTTCTTCAAATTTTCAAGCATAGTTTACCATCTTGAAGCTCTTTGAGCATGTACCATGCATAGTCAAATGCTGTACTTCATCAAAAATTTAAACCCTCAAAGACACATAAAAAGATTACATGTAAAAAGATTTTTTAAAAACAGATTATCTACCTGACAAGGTAGGTCACAGAAATACATCACAGAAAGTGATGGGATTTACACATGAAGTTGGTAAAAGCATCTCTCCTAAAAATCCGGGACTTCCACACATAAACTCCTGGAGGAATAAAGATTGGTTTCTTTATAGCATCATTGGAACAACCAAGAGGCTCACCCCATTCTGCCCTCACCTTTGAAATGCCCTGGAGAATGTCTTTCACCAAATCTTGTCCAACGTTGGCAATTCCTTCTTGAGCTTTCTGTAGTCCCAGCATTTCCTTTACTCGTGGTTTCTCATATTTCATGCATTGATTCCTCTCTGGTTGTAAGTCTAATTCTAAAGGCACATTAGAGAATACTTGGAGCCAGATGAATTCTGAGTGTGTTTCATCTCTAAGACTTGATAGTTCTAAAACATGGTTTTTAAAACATCAGCTTCTTGAGAAACATATGGTTGATTAAATGGCTAGAGAAATGAGCAGGTCTCATCTTTACTGGACTATCAATTTCTTGAGGATGTGTCTTTCCAGATTCACTTTTTATTATTTTTCAGATTTTTGAAATGATTAGTATTAAATTTCAAGCAAAGAAATAAAAATGTCTATTCTGCCATAGTGTGTTAGTTGTACTCTGTGGAGTACTTTATTCTAAACGTAATTGCCTCCATGGATGATGGAGATAGAATCTGCAGCCTCTTAAATTCTTATCACCTTCATTGTTATTACAAACAAAACATAAAATTGACATGGGATAAACAAAAGAAAGCAGAATTAAATGAACAGGCAGCTGTGTGAGCTCTAGCTTTTTCATTTTTATTATTTTGGTGATCCTTCTTGATTATAATTGTTATAATCAAAAGAAATCTGTCATGCAAAACACATTGCCTAATTAGCCAGTTGTCTTTCAAGAAGTTTATGTTAAAAAAATTATTCTGAGGAAGAAGTGTCTGAACTTAATATCCATGAATGGAAGTATCGTTCTTGTGACTCCAAATCTGTTAAAAGGACTCTACCACCCTCCCAAGTCCTTCAGAACCTCTGATTTGATTGTTTGTCAATCATACTTTGGCCCTCAGTCTGCCCTCAAACCCCCAAATGGGCATCCTGATTTTGGATTTAGTATCTCAGAAGCATTTTGAGGATAACGTTCTCAGGCCTTTACCTGACCTCAAGCATCTCAACCAGAGATAAGAAGAGATGCTCAGTCCCTGAGCACCCACTACAGCATGTCAGCTTTATCCCATTCTCACTTCCCTGGGAAGGGACACTGTGTAGGTATGAGCTATAAGAAACACCCACAGGTATTCTCTCTCTTTTTTTTTTCCAGCCTAATCTGTGGATATTCACTGATATGGATGATCCGAGTAGAGCAAGACAGATTCTTGTCTTCTGGGAGGTTTGAGCCAATCTAGTTTGGAAGAAAAGATTTGCACTAGACTAAGATTTCTTCCCATCTGGTGATTCCATAACCTATTCTTATCAGCGCTTGCAACTACAGAACAAAGTTATTTTGGGCAAGGATTTGTAGTGTACAGCTCAATTCCTTCAGTGTGAACAAGCAGAGCTATTTTTAGCCACCTCTTTTTATTGCTTTAATTTATGTATCTGAAAGAATCTGCTCTGATTGTGGGCGATTATAAGGAGGAAAATGTGCTCTCGTGCACCTCAGGGGATTTGTTTGTGGGCCTATTGTTTTAAATAGCCCATTTATTCCCCAATGGATAGAAAATCAATTTTATGGATCTTCAAACATACATAATAACCATCATGAATAATAAAGTTAAATACTAAAGTAGTATCAGCACATTATACATTTGCTTTATTGGGTTTTCCTTTTGTCCTATACTTATTTATTTTATATGATGTACTTTTTAGGTTATTTGTAGTGTAATAAAATAGAAGGAGGAACTTTGATCCTCTCTATGGATTACTAAGAATAGTTGAGACTGGGTAGTGGCATTGGTATGGGAGACAAAAGGATTTAGGCAATAAAGAAGACCCTTTGAGGCATCTTCCTGTCGAGGCTGAAATCCTACTAGCTGTACTACTAGCCTTGTGGAAGCACAATGTGTCCAAGCAAAGCTCACCAGCTCTGCAAAGAAGCATTTGATAAACAGGTCTTTCCAATCCAGCCTTATCACTAACACTAGAGTTGTTTTTCTCCACCAAAATATAGGTGAAGAGCCAGAGGTAGTACATGCCTGTAATCCCAGTGACTCGAGAACCTGAGGCAGGTGGATCTCAAGTTCAAACACAGCCTCAGTAACTTAGTGAGGCTCTAAGCAACTCAGCAAGACTCTGTTGCTAATAAAATATATATTTTTAAAAAGGGCTGGGGATGTGACTTCGTGGTTAAGCGCCCCTTAGGTCAATTGCTGGTACAAAAAAAAAAAATTAAGTGAACACATTTTTTTCTCAAAAATGAGATGTATTTTTGTTGCTTTTAGCACAAAGTTAGAAATCCCTAACCTTATTGTTTATCCATTTTTGAACCCCCAAGAATGCCATTGGCAATCTAGCAATCTAGGCCTTTCTTACATAATTTAATTTGATCATAAAGTTATTGTCCCTCTATGAAACCCCTACTTACATTGAATGATGCTGCTTCTGAGTAACTACTTCTGATCAAAATCAACCTCTGTAACAAGAATCTACATCCTGCCATCATTTGCACCCTGTTAATGTAGTCATTTCAGGAAACAACTGTAACAACAAACACCCCACATACTTTCATTGAGGCCCTGTTTGGTTAAGTGGAGACTGACAGGCTAATGGGTCAGGTAGAGACAGAGGTGAAGGGGACTTTGACTCCGACTGGATCACTAGGAGTGGTCATTCCTGATATGTTCCTGGTGATGAGGTGAAACACAGTCTACAGAAGCAGAGAACATGATGAGGGATAGAGAGGTCACACTGGATTCCCTGATTGTATCCATATGTTAGAAGAAAACAGCCTTAGAAATCTAACAGGAGTGACCTTTCCATTCTTTTGTGATGACTAATAGGACTTCTAATAAGAGAATGAATTAGGATGGGTTTGTAGAGATTCAGAGTACCATAGGTGGACTCTATGCTGAAATAAATCATTTGCACAAGGAGGGATGTTTTAGTCAACTTTTTTTACTGCTGTGACTTAAAAACCCAACCAGCATGATTATAGAGGAAGAAAAGTTTGAGAGCTCACGGTTTTAGAGATCTTAGTCCATAGAAGGCCAGCTCCATTCTTTGGGCTTGAGGTGAGGCTGAACATCATGGCAGAGTATGTGGCAGAAGGAAGCATCTCACATCATGGTGATCAAGAAGCAGAGAGAGAAACTCCACTCTCCAGATACAAATATATACCCAAAGCCATGCCCCAGTTCCCACCTTCTCTAGCCACACCCTACCACTTCAGTTAATCCCATCGCGACCAACTCACTGATTAGGCTAAGACTAAAACACAATCATTAATCATATATATATATATATATATATATATATATATATATATATAGAGAGAGAGAGAGAGAGAGAGAGAGAGAGAGAGAGAGAGAAGAGAGAGAGATGGGAGGTTTGGAGGAGAAATGATAATACACACACACACACACACACACGCTCTTTATTATTTATTTATTTACTTACTTACTTATTTGCTTATTTATTTGCTGTGCTGAGGACTGAACCCAGTGCCTCACACATGCTAGGCAAGCACTCTACCACTAAGCCACAACCTCAGCCCCTCTCCAAACCTTCTTGCATTGTCTTATGTGAGCTTTCAGGGTACACCTTACATCCAAACCATAACAAGGGATTTTTAGAACATCTGTGTAGAGGCCATATTGAAAAGACCGCTAAAGGCTACCTTGCTCTTTCCCAGCTAGTAAGGGCCAGGGTGTTGCTCCTCAGCTGGGTCAAATTTGTCAGAAGACATATTTGGCCACACTGCATGAAGTGAAATTCCCAAAAGCACCTTTTTAGAAGCTTAATCCAAAGCCAGGCAGGTTCCAAGCAGGTGCCCGAATTCACGATCGATCTGAAGAAGGCAGACAATGAGGAATCTGGTGGCAAGGTATAGGAGAGAAGGTTTGAAGTACCAGGTAGGAAGGTCCTCTGAGCCAAAGCACATATACTTTATTTTTTCTAGTAAGATAGGGGCTCTAGTATCTGGATAGAGAAATTTCTTAATGGTACTGACTTGGCCTGAAAAAAAATACTGGCTTTGGGAATTTGGATTTCATTCTATTGGTAATAGCCATTGAAATCATTGATTGTGTTGTGTTTTGCTTTTCTTTAGCAGAGAAAAGTGGTGTGGAGGGGGAAATTCTGGGAAACAATATACAAAATGGATCAGAAAATTAAAAAAAAAGATATTGAAATTGCATGAGATGAAAGGGACTGAAATGAAGGGTGACAGGGGAACTAGAAAGGAATGGATGTATGTGTATGAGTGAGAAAACAGAAATGAAGAGTCAGCAGGTCTTCTTGGTATCCGACTGAATATGAAAAGTAGAGAAAGATAAGCTTCAAAAATGACTCAGGCACAGCTTGGGTGCAGAGGCTGCTTGGTCTTGGGCCTGACAGGTTTTTCTTATCTCGTTTTGGGCCGGGGGACTCTATTGCAAACATGCTCCGCCAGATCATCGGTCAGGCCAACAGGCATCCAAGCTTGATTCCCCTCTTCATATTTATTGGAGCAGGAGGTACTGGAGCAGCACTGTATGTGATGCGTCTGGCATTGTTCAATCCAGATGTCAGTTGGGACAGGAAGAATAACCCAGAACCCTGGAACAAACTGGGTCCTAATGATCAATACAAGTTCTACTCAGTGAATGTCGATTACAGCAAACTGAAGAAAGAAGGCCCAGACTTCTAAATGAAACATTTCACTGTAAAGCTGCTTATGATAAAGGTCTTTGAGAAGCATCCACACAATTTTCCACTTAACCAGGAAATACTTCTCCTTTAAGTGCATGAAATCATGTTGATTTGTTGGAGTTTATTACACTGATTAATAAATCTCTGAAACTTGAAAAAAAATGACTCAGGCTTCAGGTCTAAGTGAAGAGAAATATTGAAGAGAAAATGTTGGCACCAGTTAGATGTAAGTCGGTGGTCTTTCTGTCATCTCCCCTTTCAAGATTTCCTTGAGCATATTTTGGTGGGAACAGCTGATTTTATGGACGCAGATAAGATAAAAATGTTTGAATCAGGTATTTTAAGCAGGGTAGACAAAGAATAAACTATTTTAGAATTTCTTCTAAATAGATAGGAAATATAGTATAAGTAGAGTCCAACCAAGATATATGATTTTTCAGATAAACATTCTTTTAAATGTTTTTGCTAGTGTATTATAGACATACATAATAGTGGGATTCATTAGGACATATTCATAGATGCATATAACATGATTTTCTCCATTTCAATACCCAGTACTTTTCTCCCTCCCCTCTTCCTTCCCTTTGCCCCCTTCCTCTACTTTCCTGGTATCCCTTCTACTTATTTTTTTAAATTGGTGCATTATAGTCATACATAAAAGAATTCATTGTGATATATTAATACATGTACACAGCATAATTTGGTCAGTTTTATTCTGCAGTTCCTCCCTTTTCCCAATCCTCCTGCCGCTTGGGTGCCCTTCCTCTACTTTTCTGTTCTCCCTTCTATGAGATCCCCCTTTTAAAAATTCTTTCCTTCTATCTTCTGCATCTGAGAGAGACTTTTCAACCCTTGACTTTCTGAGTCTGACTTATTTCACTCAGCATGATGCCTTCCAGTTTGATTCATTTACCAGCAAATGACATAATTTCATTCTTCTTTATGGCTAAGTAAAACTCCATTGTTTATTTACACCCCATTTTCTTTATCAATTTGTCTGTTGAAAGGCACCTAGGTGGTTCCATAACTTGGCTATTGTGTTGATGTCAACATTGTTATGTATTTATAACTACAGCATGCTGATGTTCTTTTGGATAAATACCAAGACAGACAGCTGGTTCAAATGGTAACTCCATTCCTGGTCTTTTGAGGGCTCTCCATACTCCTTTCCAAAGTGGTTGTACAAATATATGGGTGTACCTTTGGCCCCACATCCTCATCAGCAATTATTATGATTTGTATTTGGATGGTTGCTCTTTTAACTGGAGTGAGATAAATCTAGATGTCATTTAGATTTACATTTCCTGATTGCTAAGGATGATGAACATTTTTTAATGTATTTGTTGGAAATTTGTATTTCTTCTCCTGAGAAATGTCTGTTTAGATAATTTGCTCACTTCTTGATTGGGTTATTTGGTTTGGTTTGGTTTTGCTTTTTGGTATTAAGTATTTTGAGTTCTTTGTGTATTCTGGATGTTAATCCCATTTTGGAAGAATTGTTGGCAAAGATTTTCTCCTATTCTGTAGGCTCCCTCTTCAGTCTCTTAATCATTTCTTTTGTTGTGCAAAAGGAACCAATTAATGTAAAGTCATCCCACTTTCTGCTTCTTTGTTTACTTCTTGTATTTCAGAGATTTGTTAAGGAAGATGGTGCCTGCGCCAATTAGATTGTTGACTCTATGTTAAATCAATATTCTTTAGATAATGTTCCATATGTGGTTAGTGGTAAGCTGATTTTTATTAACAAAAGTTGTATACTTCTTCACAAATTACATGACATATATAATATTATTTGTCAATTAAAAATTGTATACCTCTTTATGTTCAAAAGAATTGATTTATTACAGTATGGGCTGTTTGGTGTTTATACACAGTGAAGGCTTTTGTTTGTTTGTTTTGCAGTGCTGGGGATCAAAGCTCATGCATGATGGGCAGGCAGGTGCTCTACCACTGAACCACATCCCAGTCCTGTACTGGTTGTTTTAGAACAGAATTTAATTTTTTAATACAACTCTTTGAATGATCAACCTGTGTCTATTGTAGTGAAGCAAAACTTCCCCTTTAGAATTTCTTTACAGCTGGGCCTGAGAATTAAACTGACACATGACAGACTGATGGGAGAAAAGCATACACATTCATTTAATGCAAATTTTACAGGGCATGGGTACCTTCATAAAGAAGTGAAGACCCAAAGAAGCAGTTACAGTTTCTTATAAATAGAATTGGACAAAGAACAGTACATTATGAGAACAACTAAATGATGTTGGGAGATTTAAAAGATTAATTATTTTGAACAAAATTCTCTCAGTTTCATTTCTCGTCTTTGATGATAAGAATGTCACTTTGGCTTTTAGTATAGGGAGAGTGTCTTTCACATGGAATTTCATCTGCATTTCAGAAACAGAAAATAGGTCAGAAGGAACTTCTTGCACCTGCTGTTTTTCATGTCCTTAATGCAAAGCAGTCAATATGCCAGAGTGATATATTTTAACTCCTTCACTATCAAAAGACATGGTGAAATAAAGCGAATCATAGATCTTAGTTTTAAGAAACCTTAGAATTACTTTTACCAGTATCTTTAAAGTTTAAATAAAAAACTACAAAACCAAAACAACAAAATGGAGCACAGAGACATTGTGTCCAACATTACATAATAATTCATAAAAGATTAAATTCTATAGGTCTGAAAGCTAAGACATGTAAATGATTCATTTCTGTGAATTAAAACTGTATAGAGTTCCATATGAACCCATTTTGGAGTCTCTGCACAATTTCAAGGATTCTCCCTAAATTTCCACCCCGCCCCCTCCAAAGCGGATTAATCTGCACTCATTGCCCACACACAGTTAGTTGGACTGGAGTGAACGCCTAATCAAGGCCAAGCCAATCAGAGTCCTCTCCCGTGGAATTTGGAATTGGACTTGGAGATTGTTGCAATCTATGTTGCGAGATCCTTCCACTTCCGCACTGTCCAGTACTATCCACAGAACAGTGGCATTTCTTCCTGAATACGGCTACCCACCCTCCCAGCCTTGTTTACAAAGGCCAGAGCAGGTGCAGATGCACAAATTCCCGAGTGTAGGACTCTCCTTTTGCTGAACAGGTCAAGGTAAAAAGCTGAGTGTTGTCAGTAGATGGGCTACACACAGCAAGGCAACAAACCCTAGTTATTGCAGCACAAAGGATCAGGGAAAAGTGTGGGCTTACTCCAACTGACTGGGTTGGGCTACCTTCCCTGGCCTCCATGGGGAGGGGTGCACGCGGGCTCTGTTGCCACCTCTTCCTCAGTCCCTGTAGGTGTTGGTTCTCTTGTCCCCAGCTCCACTTCCCAGTCTCCTCTAGCTGAGGAGGGGAAGTCACAGTCTGGGTGTTCTTCCCCTTCTCTTTTCAATGTGTTATTAGGACAAAAATTCTATGCCTGTTTCCTTCAAGGCCTTTCAGCCCTTGTGATCCTTTTCTTTTCTCCATAAAGTCTACATCATTTAAATCAAAAGTTTTGACTCTCAGAACTTTTTTTTCTGATTGGCTATTACAAAAGAGCCTGTTTTATAAATCCAAAAAATAAAAAGGAAAACGAAAAAGCATGGAATGTTTATCTTCTCTCACCAGCTAAAACCATCCATGTCTTCTTTAAGTCAATGTGGAAAGTTCTGGGTGAGCAGTAGGAAGTACAAAGCAGACACACACACACACACACACACACACACACACACACACACGTGTTTCCAGAGACTTGCTATTGCTGGCAGCCATACCCTACCCTATGAATTAGGGGGCAGGCAGAAACCAGTATGCAGAGATAATAATGAAGAACGCTCACCGTGACATGCAGAGAAACTAGTGAGAAGAGGGATATCATGGTTCCTGATGCCTTTTAGGTTTTCTGTTTCAGTACAACTCAAGATGCCCTTTCATGCTCATGACCTTAAACATCACTGTATTCTTAAAATAAATTTGTAATTTTTCTTAGGCTAACTCAAATGAGCCTATATTTTTAGCCATCAAACACGCTAATTAATACAGTTGTATAGTTTCAAAGCTAAGCTACATTTTTCCCAGCCATCTTTAAAAGGAAAACACTATAGAGATTAACATTAATATGCAGTTAAATGTTCCAAGAACTTTTGTTATGAAAGTCTGTGTTGTTCATTGCCACTCTGGTTTATGTTTCCATGATGAAGATGTCAGACTGTGGTGGAAACTTTAAGTTTTCTGTGTTGGATCTGAAAGAGATCTGACCAAGACTACTTACCTACTTCCACCCTCCTGTGCTAAGGGGTAGTTGCGAGGCTGTGGGTATTTTCTCCAAGTAAAGACTTCCTCTCTGTTCATGAGGAAGTGCAGGAAGAGACTATCCCATGGAAACAAGCATCATAGCTCCATACTCAGCTGGCCACCATGAGGCTCTTGATGCTATTAATTTCCTTTCTTTTATTCAAAGTCTGTCTGCCACATACTAGCAATAAAAGTCCTTAAGAACCCTATTATTTTCACTTGCCCATGCAAGCCTCCTTTTTTGGGAATTGTGCTCCTCTAGCTCCTATTGAGCAGGCAGTAATACTAACCAACTTCTCTCAGCTCACTGGAATATATTCCTGCCTAAAACTGGCACAGTCAGATACTCCCTGCAGGAAATTTGGAATTGGGCTTTAGAGACTCCAGTCAGTCTTTGTTAAGGTCTAGACAGAAAGTTGTTGCAGGGCTGAGCTGGGTAGCTGTGAGAATAAACATCCTGAAGCAGACATTGCTCATCTGAGAAACAAAACGGATGTGAAGAGGGAAGAGGAAATGAGGGACCATTCAGCCTCCTCCAGAGAGGAAGAAAATAACCATTGCTTCTCAGTTTCCCAGCTTCTTGGTTCTGGTTCTTTCTGAGGCTGGACTATGCTTCCTGTCCTTGGGTTCCTTTAGATATTCTCATATTCTTCAAAGAAAATTTCCTTTGTGCTTAAATTAATTTGAAAGCACTCTATTCCAGTCAACCACCATATATCTAGCCTATAACTCTCTGTAGGGGGTCAGTCATTAATTGCTAGAATATGTAATTCGTTGCCCATTAATCTGATTTTCA